CAGAGTATAAGAGCTCTGGAGTCAGAGAGCTCCAGGTTTAAATCCTGGCTCCATTCATCCACATGACCCTGCACTGGTTGCTTAACTTATTAAGCCTCAGTTTTTCACTTTTAAAAATAGGCTAGTTTTAATCACAGCACCCATCTTACAAAATTGTTGAGACAATGGAGATAAAGGTGAAATGCTTAGGAATATCCTGGTGCATAATAAGCATATAATAAATGGAAACTCCCACTGAGATTTTCAAATGAATCTGCCTCCCCTGACAACCTCTCTTTCCCCAGTACACAGTACTTATTACTGGACTGGCTCAAAGACCCAAGCCCCTTACTGGGCTAGGACACTGCTGTGCAGGGTTCTGGTGCCTGTTGCTTCCCCCTGGAGGCCTCTAGGTCCTGAGAAGTGCCTCTCAGTCACGTTGTTAGGGTGGTTCCTGGAAACTGCCTGATTGCCTTCAGTTGTGGCCTCCTCCTGCCCAGTGTCACTATCCTGGGATTCAGTGATATAGAGAAAAGAGGTCCTGTTGTAAGAAATGTATAGGCCCAGTAACAAGGAGGTTTCCAAAAAGAGCCATTCTAACTTCGAAGAGGACTTGGGAGTTTTCTTCCTTCTCCTCTACTCTCACTACATGCCTTTGATCCTGGACAGTGAAGTTTCTTTCTTTTCACTATCATTTATTTTCTCTTTGGAAGCACAATGTATTATAGTTTTTCCTAAAATAGTTTTTCTTGGTCAAGATTAAAAATAAGAGGTGAAAACCAGAATCTGGAAATTATGAATCTGAGTGTCAATTTGTTCATCCATAAACTGGGGACACAACTTAGGATTTTAAAAAACAGTTGATGTAAGGAAATGTGCTTTGTATACATTTCTATATGTAAGTAAGGGATTAATTTTGGCTCTTCCTTGAGGGAAAATGGCATGATAAAATTGTGAACAACAAATCAGAAAGTCGGTTTTGATACTCCATTCCTCTGTGGAGTCTATCATTGAGAGAGAGAGAGCACCCTGGAGAGCCAGAGAGCGCTAAGGCAAGAACAGGAGTGAGAGAGGGAGAGGGAGGGAGAGGCTTTACAGTATAATTTAAGGAAGCGGGCTTCAGAATGAGAGGGGAGCAAAATGAAAGGTGAGGAATGTAACTATTATAATTCTGATCTATTGCACCATCTAAAAAAGACATCTATTTGAACTCCTGTACAAGCAGCAATTACCTGGAAAATAAATGTAATAAGGATCTCCTAAGTTGGCAGTAAAATTAGCATCACTGAATTTTAATTAATAGTCCAGCTTGGAGAAATATACTACTCCGCCTTACGAAAAGAATGGCCTCATCCATGGGGCACACTCTCTCAAATCAGTGTGTTCAGCAGGTATTTTGTTTTCCCTTAGTTTCCCGGAAATTTTTGCAACTCCGGCATCACTGGGAGAACCAGTGAGTAAGCATGCTGTAGCAGCCCATCCAAAAGAAATGCTGTTGATCACATGCTTTCTCTGTGGACCTCAGTTTCCCCATTTGCAAAATAATGGAATGATGTGCTGTGGATGAGAAAGACTGGAATCTCTTGGGTTTCTTTAGCTTAATATTTTTTGTGTTTTGGCCCAGGCACACGCTCTTTTTAGATTCCTCTGCATTCTGTGTTGAACTCTGCCACAGTAACAGTGATGTAGACAATGTTGATGGGGAAGAGGGGTTTACTGAGAACCTAGGATGTGTGGGCACTGGATGGGAAGCTTTTGAGGCATCACTGATTGTGGTCTTCATGACCTCCCTTTGAGGTAGCTCTTGTTTGTGTCCCCATTTAATGGATGAGGAGACACTTCAAAAGAGCCTTGTTCATGGCCATACAGCTGGCCACCAAGTAGTCATGGTGGTCATACGATGATGAAAATTAAACAACGTTTTTTTCAGTGGAACTCTTAGGAACACTTCTCTGTTCCTTTTGAAAGTCAGAGAAGTGTCCTGCCTCTGTGACTTTCAAATATCATAAGGTGGAGTCTTATAAGATTTGCCAGCCCCTCACCCACCACACTCCCCTAAAGATTCTCTGCTCCTCCCATTTCCACTTAGTACAACTTTTTCTCATTTTAGTACTCTGAAAATTTTCAGATCACCTTTGGTTATTTCATCCTCATCCTTCATATCCAAGCATTCATCAACCTCTCTGCTTTCATTCCTTAATTCAGTGCTAATATGTCAGATACTGCATGAGAAACTTAATCATAATGGCTCCTTGATTTATATAGTGTTTTAGGGTTTTCAAAGAGGACTCATGTGCATTATCTTATTTAATCCTCACAATGGCCCCTGAAATAGATGATCTATATTTTACTGATAAAGAAATGGAAGCTCAGAGAGGACCAAAATCAGATAACTAGTGTGAGGAAGAGTTGCATTTGAGCTCACATCCAAATTTAAAGCCCAGTATTCCAAGGAACATGGTCTTCCTTAGTGTCTTCTTTTTTTTTTTTATTGCATTTTAGGTTTTGGGGTACATGTGCAGAGCATGCAATACAATTGCATAGGTACACACATGGCAGTGTGTTTTGTTTGCTTTCTCCCCATCACCCACATTTGGCATTTCTCCCCAGGCTTTCCCTCCCCACCTCCCCCTCCTACTGGCCCTCCCCTTTTCCCCCAATAGACCCCAGTGTTTAGTACTCCCCTCTCTGTGTCCATGTGTTCTCATCTTTCATCACCCTCCTATGAGTGAGAATATGCAGTGTTTCATTTTCTGTTCTTGTGTCAGTTTGCTGAGAATGATGTTCTCCAGATTCATCCATGTCCCTACAAACGACACAAACTCATCATTTCTGATTGCTGCATAATATTCCATGGTGTATATGTGCCACATTTTCCCAATCCAGTCTATCGTCAATGGGCATTTGGGTTGATTCCAGGTCTTTGCTATTGTAAACAGTGCTGCAATAAACATTCATGTGCATGTGTCCTTATAGTAGAACGATTTATAGTCCTTTGGGTATATACCCAGTAATGGGATTGCTGGGTCAAATGGAATTTCTATTTCTAAGGCCTTGAGGAATCGCCACACTGTCTTCCACAATGGTTGAACTAATTTACACTCCCACCAACAGTGTAAAAGTGTTCCTTTTTCTCCACATCCTCTCCAGCATCTGTTGTCTCCAGATTTTTTAATGATCGCCATTCTAACTGGCGTGAAATGGTATCTCAATGTGGTTTTGATTTACATCTCTCTGATGACCAGTGACGATTAGCATTTTTTCATATGATTGTTGGCCTCGTATATGTCTTCTTTCGTAAAGTGTCTGTTCATATCCTTTGCCCACTTTTTAATGGGCTTGTTTTTTTCCTGTAAATCCGTTTGAGTTCTTTGTAAATTCTGGATATCAGCCCTTTGTCAAATGGGTAAACTGCAAAAATTTTTTCCCATTCTGTTGGTTGCCGATTCACTCTAGTGACTGTTTTTTTTGCCGTGCAGAAGCTGTGGAGTTTCATTAGGTCCCATTTGTCTATTTTGGCTTTTGTTGCCAATGCTTTTGGTGTTTTGTTCATGAAGTCCTTGCCTACTCCTATGTCCTGGATAGTTTTGCCTAGATTTCCTTCTAGGGTTTTTATCGTGCTAGGTCTTATGTTTAAGTCTTTAATCCATCTGGAGTTAATTTTAGTGTAAGGTGTCAGGAAGGGGTCCAGTTTCTGCTTTCTGCACATGGCTAGCCAGTTTTCCCAACACCATTTGTGAAATAGGGAATCCTTTCCCCATTGCTTGTTTTTGTCAGGTTTATCAAAGATTGTATAGTTGTAGATATGTTGTGTTGCCTCTGGTGCCTCTGTTTTGTTCCATTGGTCTATATCTCTGTTTTGGTGATAGACATAGAAGACACTAAGGTACCAACTGGTACCTTAGTGTCTTCTATGTCTATCTTACTTTATTCATTTCCATAGTTTCCTATAAGTCCAAACCCATACCATCCCACCACTGCTTTGTATGGCAGCCTTGGGGTTGGTATCCTTGATTCCTGTCTCTCTATTTTGATCCAGATTTAAACTCCAGTTCCTATGGTGGATCCTTATTATCTTGGATCTAAGTTACATTCTTCTATAAATCTTTCAAGGTTGCCCATAGTATACCCTGATTCTGCGCTTGCAAGTATGTGTCCTACCTTCCTTAGCTCGTGTGTCTCCAGAACCTGGCTCCATGATGTGCATGGGGAAAAGCACTCAACAACTCAAGCACATTTTCATGATCCTCTACATTCTACTCTCATCAATAAAAGACTAATTTTTTGAAGAGCCATGTTAGAATAATCCTAAATTCCATTTAATACTTACAGTTTATATCTTGGCTATTCAAAATGTGGACCAGAAGGATACACATCACATCAAAGCTTGTAAGAAATGCAGAATCTTGGGGAACCTTGGGCTTAATCAAGATCTGAATACTAATAAGGTCCTAGGTGACTGGTATGCATATTAAGTTTGAGAAGCCCTGGACAAAAGATTCTAGTCACGATGTAATGGGCCAAGTAGAGGCTTTAATTCATAAATGCCTGGGTTTGAATCCCAGCTCTGCTACTAACTGGCTTTGTAACCTTGATTAAACTTGTAAAATTCCTTGGGTCTCTATTTCCTTGTTTGTAAAATGAGGCTAACAATAGCTCAGTGACTATGAGTCAGGCATTTCATATGCATTATTACTGCATTTTCAATATTCTTATTGTGTTTTAGAGATAAGAACACTGAGGCAATGTGGTATAGTCAGGTAATACATTAGCTCGCAGAGTTGCAGTTCAAACCCTCATCCATTTGATGACAGTTAAATGCCATTTTCACTTCACTTTTCCATTCTGTATGCTCTATTGTTGAATTTGATCACATATTATTGTGAAGATCAAATGAGATTCAGGTTGTTCTGGGTTTCCTGTCCTATAAAGGTGTATATAAATGTTGGTAGTTATTCATAGTATTGCTTACCTAAGTTGTTCTATAATCGCTTTACATATTTTACTTTGTTTCCTTTCAGCTATCAGAGTCCTTCCTTATCGCTTGGATATTTGAAGAATGTGAGGTACCACTTCTTGCTGCAAACAAGGAATTCAAGTACACACTGAATGTACATGTGGATGCTTGCATAGGTTGATTAGTGATGGGCCAGAGAGGCAATGAAAGGAGTCAGAAGATAGAGGAGAAGATAAGTTGGCATTTGGTTTATCCAGGGAAGAGAAAATTATAAGAGAAAAATGAATAGAAGTAGGGCTAGGAAAGTAAAAAAGATGAGCCTGGAGGATTTTACATTATTTAAGTAGGAAGTAGAGAAAATCCTTGAGAATGGCTTAGGCCTAAAAAGCTAAGAAATAAACTGGTCATTGGGTTTTAGATATGAATTTCTCTAAAATGTAAACTGAGTGTAGTATTTTTCAGGAAGTTGGGCTTTCTCACACCATGCTGTTTGTCCTTTTGTATATCAATGTATTATTCACCCATCACTGCTGCTGTGGAAGTTCTAAGATGTGGAGAACAATAGAGTGATCAAAGCCTTAGCAACATCTAGGAACCAAGAGAGTAGGCATTTCTCCCAGAGGTGTTAGTGCCATTTGTCATATCACCAAATGCATATCTGCTGTGATTCTGGACCATTCTCCTGCCTTGGCGAGTGGAGTGGTCACCACTGTGTTGAAGATATAGTCATCAAAAGGCAGCTGAATTGTGCCTTCTTTCATGTACACCCCTCTGGGCTACTCTGTTCTCAGTCAGAGGGGAGAAAAAGCATATCTGATTTCCAATAGTAGAAGGAGATTTAGAATCTGGGAAGAGAGCAAATAACCAGCAGCTTGGAATGCCTGGGATTACTTTACATGTTAGTCTCAACCGATGGACTGTGTGTAGAAAGCTGTCAAGAATGAATATCTTACAGAATGAAAGCTAAGAGAGTCTAGCTGGTGGAGACAACTGAAATCCTCTGAATCGCAGAAGAGAATCCAGACTTTCTTCCTAAGCTGGATCAAGCTGGACTGTATACTTACAATGTATACACGTAACTTCCAGACTTACATGTTGTCAGTATTCCTGTGATACTCACACTGTCTGTAGCTGGTCTAATAGCTCGTGATTGAGAAGATATAAATAAAGGTATTAAAAGAATTTCCAATGCCCAGTTTAAGGAGTAAACAGAGAACATCACACACTTTGGTCTGCAGATAACTTTGTATTTCATTCCACCTCCCAGTTGAATAATAATCTGCTTGGGGTTAAGAATCACGACAACTGAACCATACTTAGAAAATTATAATCTGAGTCTGATCTGAGACTAAAAACACTTTTGTTCAAACTCAGCACTTTGTTATTTAATTGCAGCATGCTCTGCAAATATACTTAACCTTAATCTATAAAATGTAAAATTAACACATTTCAGAGTTGTTCAGGCAAAGCATGATGGCATCTGAGAACACTTTTGTAACTGTTGACTTACGTTTACTCTGCTTTATGTATAGAAACTTTAAAAATTAGTAAGAGTAACTTAACTGTTTGCTTTGTGCTAGGCACTGCACTAAAGATTTCCTTTACATCCTCTACTCCTTGGAGTATCATTTTGAAGTAGATATTTTTTGTCACCATTTGACAGATGAGTAAATTAAGGCTTAAAAAGATTAATGAAGGAACCCAAGGCAATGTAACTACTGCATGACTTAAATTTCCATCTGTCTCTTTAAAGCTTGGACCACCTTGGTCTTTGAACTCTGGCATCATAGGGATGGCTGGTTGGCATTCTTTAGGACCTCTGGTTAGATTTATAATAATCTGAGGGAAGAGCAGAAGTGTCAGGTGAGCAGATCTTTGCTTCTGCAAAAGTCAGAGGCCAATATCTTTGGAGACAAAGGGCTTTCATAGGGGGGTTTAGTTAACTTTGAATTTCAGATAAATAATACCTTTTTTTTTTTTACTATATCTCATGCAATATTTGGAATATATTTATAAGAATTATTTATTATATTTTTATTTGTTAAATCTGGCAATGCCAATATAGGAAAGCATCAGCCCCAGAATGAGTTAGAATTTTCCAGAACCCCTCTCAGGGCTTGGCTGGAATCTGAGCAGTGATTCTGGAAGTAGGAGAGATGAAGGTCAGTGAGGCACAGTGACAAAGGTCAGTCGGACAAGCCCGCACTGGGATTCAGGACATCCATATTCCAAGCTTCGCCACACCCTGTCTGGATGGGCTACCATCTTCCCCTGCCTGGGCTTTAGAGCAGAATTGGTCAGAGTCATTGCAGCATAAATGGGTGTCATCTTCACGAACCAAAGGTTTGGGCAGAGAAGTGGCCATGAAACAGGGTAATGTCTTAACTTACAACTATCTATAAGAGCAGGGGATGTGAAGATAATTTACATGTAAAAACTGAAAACCAATTCATCCAGAGCTAATTTCAGCTCAGACCAGCAGGAAAATTGCTGTTCAAATTGATATTTCTATTGCCAGGTTTATTGACAAACATGAAATAAAAAGGCCTCTTTGTATCACGAATTTGTTATATGCTTAAAAAAATAGAAAAGGGGGTTTATATTCCCCAGTTGGTGGCATACTGAATTTTGACAGACTTTTTTTTTTATAAGTGTGAAAATGCTGATGGTTGTTGAGCTGGGATACAGCCCCATTCCATGAAGAGCAACATGACTCTGGGTCTTTGGATAGAAACTTTCATCAGTGCACGCTTCGGTGAATTCTCCCTCCTCCCAGGAGGCCTGTCCTCATTTCAAAGCTGGGGAAAGCAGGAGCCAGATAAGGGAAGTAAGTGACTTTCCCAAGGTCACAGACGGACAAACGTGCTAGCTGCTGGGCAGAGCAGAGCTCAAATCCTCTGTAGCTGGGCCTAGACCGTCATCCCCTACCATCCCCCAGACCTCTCCTGCAACGTATCCAGGGAAGCCCAAGATGCCTAGACCACCCCCTCAAAACAGTGGGAACTTTCCACCTCTCCTCATCAGTTTACAACCACCTTATGGCTTGAAAGCCTGCTCCTCCTCTCCGTGGCTCTGTTGTCTCCCAGCCCTTTCTCACCGGTGTTTGCAATCCTCAGCTTCACTCAGTCTGAAATATGTAGGGATCATAACTTGTGGGTTCGTACAAGAAGCCAGCAGCCCTTCCATAATTGCCACTGACGTGGAAATACAGGAGCAAATGAGTAGCAATTCATGTGTCGCCGCATGACAGAACAAAAACCTCTACCGAGGAATTAAAGCCATAAATATCCTGCAGGGCTCCTACCTGTGAGCTTGTTCCTGACATCTGGAATGGCAGCTCACTGGAGCCACTCTGCTGTCAGCATCCTGCTGCACGCTGGCTGCAATGAAGCTGTGAGAGCAGAAGGGACAAGAAGGGGAAGTCTGGGGAGTCAGGCCTGGGGTGGGGGGACTTCCAAGGGAAACCTGGTGACAGACAGGTTACTTTCCCTTATCATGACCACAGCAACTAAGAGGCCCAGACTCACTCACTCCCACTTGGAGCCTCCCCGAAACCCTGCCTGCCACCAGACTTCCTGTCCTTGCAAGACGCATAACAGCTCTGTGGCTGATCTCCCATCTGGTTGACAGGAATGACAGCTCAGAGCTGTGTTCCTGGAGGGGAAAGTGCTGTGGGCAGAGAAGAGGAAAGAAACTGCACCTTCGGGTTGCCCACACGGTCGTGGCAGCCTCTAACAGGCTGCAGAGATGAGGGAAGCAGGCAAGAAGCTCAGAAGAAAGCCAATTGATGACCCCTAGAAGGTGGGAATTTTACTAATGGGGCTCTCTCTTGGCAGATGTTTACTATTTCTGGAGCTGGGAGGATGCCGGTGGTGGGGATTGCATCCTATGCTAGAAGCAGCTGTTGAAATGTGATTCTGTCATTGTGGCAGGGATTCCCAGGCTTGCTGCTTTTTCCTGGGACCAACAGTATTTGCAAAATGAAATGGATCCTTAGCTACTCATGACAATTTGCATAGTGTTTTTTTGGTTTGTTTTGTGTCTTTTTTTTTTTTTTTTTCTTTTGCTACTGTTATAAAGTGAAAGCACAGTGTTTTCTAGGGGCCTTGAGTTGAGTACTAATTGGATGGGTAATGACTAGAGACATTTCACCTTTGCTTACCCTGTATCTCCAACCACTGTTCAACACAGGTGCTAGTATGATTGAGTCCTGAATGCAGACCAATTCTAGTAAGTCATTCCTCAGAAGGATGGCCTTGGTGGCTACTGGAAACTCTCATAGGCCCTTTGTGCCTTAGTTTTCCTATTTAAAAAATAGGGGAAAAAATTAGCTTGTCTTAGTTTATTTGGCTGCTATTAACAAAATACCTTAGACTGGAGGTGGCTTATAAACAGGAGAAATTTATTTCCGATAGTTCTGGAGGCTGGGTGGTCCAAGGTCAAGGCACTGGCAGATTTAGTGTCTGGTGAAGGCAATCTTCTCACTGTGCCCTCATATGGTGGGAGGGATAAGGGCACTTTCTAGGTTGTCTCTTAAAAAAACACTAATCCCATTTGTGAGAGCTTCATCCTCGTGGCCTAATGACCCCACAAAGATTTCACCTCCTTGTATTATCACTGTGGAGATTAGAATTTCACTATATTCATTTTGGAGATATGTTCACTTCCGTCCATTGCACAGCTGCACATCTTGTTTTTATCGCTAAAGTGAGCGAGTAAAGATCTGAGATTTGAGGTCTAAAGAGCAGGTCTTCCTCCTGTTGTTTACCCAGACGAAAGCAGCTGAGCTTTTGTCTTCCTGGTTCTACATAAAATGGAGAAGGATAAAATGAAGAAAATGGAAAGGAGTTCTTCCCTACAATAATTTAGTGATAGAATTGAAAATGCCATATTTTTATGTATAAACCAATTTTGAGAATCTATGAAATGAAGATAAGAATAAACAGCAGTAGTTAAGACAGGTGCAGGCTAGACTATTTTACATCAAGGCACAAACGAGGAGGTACTAGTTCAAAACGTCTCCCCACTCCTGGCTGTCATGTAGCTTCTGCTTTTTAGGCCCAAGAAGAACACTTAATATGAGTGTGTGTGCTGACCAGCAGAGGAGAAAAATAAGGATTTTAAGCTGACCTGCTCTGCAGGAAAGTCTAATGCTACAGCTGCCAAACTGGGTAAACTTATCTGCTTTCCGACCTATTCGTGGCACCTTACATATACCTAGATATAGATGGACTCTTCTTTGCTTTAACATTCAAACATATTGCTCTTTTTAAAATTTATTTATTGTACTTCAGATTCTGGGGTACATGTGCAGATCATGCAAGATTGTTGCGTAGGTACATTCATGGCCAGGTGGTTTGTTGCCACCATCCCCCCATCACCTATACCTGAAATTTCTTCCCACATTATCCCTCCCCATCCTTTCTCCCACTATTCCTCCCTCCCACTATCCCTCCCATGGCCCCCTACAATGGACCCCAGTGTGTGATGCCCCCCTCTTTGTGTCCAAGTGTTCTCATTGTTCAACACCCGCCTATGAGTAACTACAAGCGGTGTTTGATTTTCTGTTCTTGTGTCAGTTTGCTGAGAATGATGGTTTCCAGGTTCATCCATGTCCCTACAAAGGACATAAACTCATCGTTTTTTTATGGCTGCATAGTAATCCATGGTGTATATGTGCCACATTTTCTTTGTCCAGTCTATCATTGATGGGCATTTGGGTGGGTTCCAGGTCTTTGCTATTATAAACAGTGCCACGATGAATATGAGTGTGCATGTGTCTTTATAATAGAACAATTTATAGTCTTTTGGGCATATACTCAGTAATGGGATTTCCCTTTTAAGACATAGTGGTGCAGCTTGGTAACAAAGAAAGAGTGTGGGCTTAGAACAGAGTTTCAGCTCCAAATCCTGACTTCCCTACCAACAAACCATGTGACCTAAAGCATGTGACCTTCTCTATGTCCTGTGGTCTTACCTGAAAGTGAGGATGCTAATCCTTGTCAGCTATGTTATGGAAGGGCAGGGGACCACGCCTTTGCTCAGCAGATGCCAGGCACTGAATTAATTGTTTCCTGTGCTCCTTATTTCTAGAAGTTGTCAGCACGTGCCATTGCTTCTGCTAAAAAAGAAAGTAAATAACCTGGCAATATAATCTAATTTTGTGTTTCTTTCTGTAAGGGGAGATGGCTGCTTTTATCCTCACCATTTCCAACTTGCAACCAAGACAGTATGTTCACTGAAGAAGCAAAGATAGTACATTTGACCTACTAGGCATCCAGGAAGTGAATGAATATTCATGCAAATAAAACATAGAAGCCTTGAAAAATTCTTCTAGGGGTTTTCAGAGGTCCAATCTTTAGGATGTAAAAATTATATAAATGAAAAATTATGTTTAATTCTTTTAAAAATATTTTGTAAATTCTCATTAAAGATACTGTATCTAGGGAAGTATATATCATATCTTGCTATGTATGTGAAATAATGGGGCGGAAAGGCAGACGTCGTTGCTTGTATATGATAGACTATTTCTGGAGTGATTCATGAGAAACCAGTAACTGGGTGACATCAGGAAGAAGAACTTGGTGTGAATCGGGAATCAGAGGAAACTATTTCACTGTGTGCTCTTTGGCCCTTGTGAATTTTGAACTACGTGAATGTATTGATTAGCTATTCACAGTAAAAATAAAGAAAATTAAACTTAAAGTAGAGATTGTATCTTGTGAAAATCAATGTACTTTCTGTTCATTTCTAAAAAGTTAAATATTTGTAACACTCTGCCATGGCAAATGTACTTCAAAAATACAATGTTGGTTCTAGTTAACACTCAGAAAAAATCCCCTTATTTTGTATCTATTAGCGTGCTGGTTCACCAAGGATTTAACTCCCAGAGTAGTCCTATTACCCCTGTGAATTGTGTGTGTGTGTGTGTCTGTCTGTGTGTCGTGTGTTTGTCATGTGTGTGTTTCTCTCTGTTTCTGTGTGTGTGTGTGTGTTGTGTGTGTGTGTGTGTGTGTGTGTGTGTGTAGGGACTTCACTGGCTAGGTAGGGCTCAGCCCTAATGAGGCTGAGGTCTTGGGTTTAACCTGCAGATGACGAGTTAATTGCACTCTGTTCTGGGGCCACAGAATGTGCCTTTCACTCTGATTAGCTGCTTGCCAATGTGGCCGTTGGCCTTGCAGTGGCAATCCTGGGAGCAAGCCTGATGAAATCCACACAAGTTCAGCTGAGTAGAACGACCAGTGGGAGGTCAGGGGAGCATGCACGTAAGGGTGGACGCAAACTGGGTGAGGGTGGGGAAATACATAGGATACTTATAAACCAGTGCTCCCCAGCAGCAGGGACAGGTCTGCCAATCCATTTTCTGCCCACTGCCCTCTTCTGTTCACACTCTTGACTTTTAAACTTGTGGCTAGAGTTGGTGCAAGTGCTTAAGTGGGCTGGACTGGGGGTAGAGGTGTTGCAAAGATGCCTGCAGAGCTTTATTGGAACTTCTAACTAAATATCTGAACACATTTTGGGAGTCAGCGGTCTGGGATTAATTCCTCCTCTGCATTCTGCCTCATATCAGCACTTGTGATATTTTAGACATGAGAACGTTTTCAGAGTGACATGCAGGGTGTGTGTATGTGCATGTGTGTGCATGCCCCATGTGGGGTGTTTGGGTGGGAGAGGCAGAATGTGAAGGCTGTGCCTTCCTTCTCAGTACTGAAAGTTTTCTAGATACCTCCAACGGTTAGGTGGGCTCGGCGGGGGGGTCTAGTCCCTGTCTAACCATATCTGACCCTCCTGTAATTTCTCACATAAGAAAGAGTCCCAGGCCCACATAGTGACAACCGGGTTGGAGTCACAGTCTTAATAATATACACTTGTGAAACTTTATTTTTTTCTAGCCCTGCTCCCGTGTTAATTGTTTCATTCGGTAGGACTGGACAAGCCTTGGAAATATGCTTATCTTTATTTTGCATATGAAGAAACTGGGGCCAGCCTCGGAGTCTCCTTCAATATCTAGCTTGAGACTCACACTATTTCTCATCTATGAATAAGAGGTTTGGGGATATTTGGTATTTCTGGATCATGGTTGGATTCAGAAGCCAAAAAAACATGGTGAGAGTAGGGAGCTTGCCCACAAATTCAATTACATTTCTTGAAGAACATTTTCATTGATTTAAGCCAAATTTGAGGCCACTTCTCATTTCACCTGAAGTTAGTCCTAATAGCTACCTGTTAGTGTTGATTGGTGCTTACCTAGCAGAAAGTTATTGGTAAATATCATGTGTTTACCTAGTAATTACACACCTATGCCAATTACTCACTAATTATGCTCAGCGGGTGCAAAAGTCATTAACACAACACATCCCTGGCACTGGGGGTAAAGGAGGCAGACCATGTTGTATTAATTTAGTAGTTGCTTATTATTTGTCCGATCTGAGGGTAATTTCACCTCAGAACAATGAGAAAGAGCTGAATGTCCATCTGTTGAAGTCATTTATTAGTACAAGTCAAGGGCAGAACTGGACATGTGTGAGTGTGAGCATGACTGGCCTCTTATCCTCCTTGTGTAAACTGTGTGAACAGCCAGGCTGGGAGAGATACTGGAGGTCTCAGGCCAGCCCCAGTGGCAGAAGAGCTAGCTTTAACAGCCGTGTTGCCGTTACCCATGTGGGTCTGTCCTCAGCAAATTTAAAATCCTTAGGCCAGCCTCCCAATGCCCAGCATGTTCCTCAGCTGCTGTGTGCTCAGGGAATTCAAACTAATTTTAATATTAGCCCTAAGCAAAGCATAATTAGAAAGATAAATCTTCAGCAACTCTCTTCTACCCAGGTCTCTCCACTGCCACCACCCACCCCCGTCCCACCTCCCTGCCATCATGTGTTATGAGAAGCCCAGTGTAAACGGCTTTGAGATTATCTGTAGCAACACTAAACACATTTGTTCAGCTCATTGAAAGTTGGTTTGGAAGTCAGACAGGCAGCAGTGGTGTGAGCCCTGTGAGGTGTCCCACCTCCTGACCCTGGGAGGAGGAGACAGCTGGGTGGGGACCTTCCCTACTCATTCCTTCAGATCCCCGGCCCACACATCATTTGTTCCTGGAGCAGACGCTGGCCTGTCATGGCCACAAGAACCTATAAAACCAATGGTGAGATATTTCTTGCACTGAATAAGACTCCCTTGGATTTCCATCTTCATCTCTGGAAATAACTGTTCATCTTTCACAGTTTTTTGTCATTGCAGAGAGACTCTCCTCAAGGAGGAGACTAAGATAACAGGCATGTGTCTGGCAACTTAAGGAAGGGGTGTCCATGGGGGCAATCAGCTTGGCTTCCCCTGGGGGCCGGAACCATGATCTGGAAAGATGGTCAGGAAGTGGGCTGCTGTCTGCCCACCTACAGGTTAAGGAGAGCAGGGCTCAGTGTATTCATGAAGACAGCTGGGTTCTCAATTAAGGAGAGAAAAGAAGCTTTAAATTTTAGGGGGAACTTGGCCTGTGCATTGGCTGACTAAGAACTTCCTGCTTTACTCTGTTGAAAATGGGCTTGGCTGATGATACTAGGTCTTCTTGGGTCAGAAGACCAAACTCTATTTCCTAGTTCTTACTTATCTTTCTTCCAGGAACCAGCATGAGGTTGCCTTCTAATGGACATGTCTCATCATTTCACTGAAGATTTATGGAATGCTTCCCCCTTTAAAAGTGTTAAGTACTTGCTGTCAGCATCACCATCGCAGCCTGCGAAGTCGCCACTAAAGAGAGAGAAGTGGAAAAGGCAAAGTAAGAACAAAAGCTAGCCACATCGCAGGGCTCAGAGCTTATCCTGGCAGCCACATCGCAGGGCGTAGAGCTCATCCTGGCAGCCACATCGCAGGGCTCAGAGCTCATCCTGGCAGCTGGGAATGTCCCCTCCCCAAGCCCGACATGAAAGGTCCCTTTCCAAGCTCTTGGGAGACTCTCCGATCCCCATTTCTTCTGGTCCTGAACCCTTGCTATTGTGCTATCCCTGTTGACACCTCAGACATCACTGACAGCAGAGCAGAATACCAAGCCTTCTGTTCTTCACATATTTCCCACACCTTTTCTACCCTACAACTGTCATCTTTGGCTTTCTTTAAAATTTTCTACTCTTTATATTACGAGGTGTTAAAAACAGGGAGATGGGGGCGTGGATCTCAGCTCAATTAAGGAACGTCGGAGTCAGCTTTCCCCCAACAGCAGCAACCCCCATTCCTCACCCTGCCCCAAGTTCAAGTTCTAAACCTGGAGCATTCCACCAACCCACTTGCCCTCATCCTCTGCAGTGCATACCCCCAGATCTCTCCTCTTAAATCTCAAGTTATCTCCAATTTCGTGATCTGTGGTTGGTGCGCTAAAGAAACAGGCAGGATCTTGCTGGCACCCTAATCATGAAGCTCTGGCTGCGTGGGTCAGGGAGCTCTGAGAAAGGAAAGCCTGTGCAGAAGGTTGAGGTAGAAGGAGGTATGTGCAACACAGCTTCATCTCCGCTTTCTGGGCTGCAGGTGCTTCCAAGGCACTCGCAAATATACCACACATAGTACACGCACTCCTCCGTGCCTTTTCTCAGGCTCTTTCCTCTGCCTGGGATTTCTTCTCTATTTTTTTGCGGGGAGATATTCTTGGTACTCATTCATGGATTATTCAGGGTTAACCCCTTTTTCAATGCTTTCCCCAGTGATCGTGAGGCTGACTTAATCCCTCTCTCCTGTGATTTCCTTTTGCCCTTAGCCACAGATGAAGTATGTGGGGACAGGGGTGTGATTTTTCCATTAGTTTACAGGCTTCTCTGTGAGATCTCGTACTCGTTTATCTTAATATTCCTAGTGCCAAGAGTGACACCAAGACACATAGTAGGTCCTGAATGAGGCCAGAGCGAACCTCACTCCCAAACCAAGCCAGAACTTTCCAAGCGTCACCTTGACCTTTCTAAACACAGTCCCGGGGCTCTGTAGGAAGAGGACTGGTGTCTATTAGTACCCACTACTTGCTGAACTGTGACAAGTCCCTCACATCTGTTCCTTCGTTTAATTCTCAGAATAAGTGTAATGGGCATTTTCATTCTCATTAAGAGATGCAGAATTACTTAGAGAGGTTAAGGTAGCTTAGGCTGATCAATTGCAGATTTCCTATGCAAACCTCCATTTTTCTGGCTCGAAAGGACATATGTTTTCCTAGCCTTCACTGTCTCCTCAGGGAGCTGAGCAGGAAAAGAGTATTTCCTCTTTGCCAAGAGCACCCACTTCTGAGAGCTACTGTTCCAGCTGCACAGGGATTTGTCCATCTCCTTTGCAGAGATTGACTGACCCTGCATGGGGGAGGCCGGGCACACTCTTCCTTCAGGGAACCTCTTCTAAGTCTCTGACGTAAACAAACAATTTCTGACCAAATCCCAGGCTCTCCATTATGCACTGCCTTCTATTTTCGGGCAGTGCCTGCAATTGGTTGCATGGGGAAAGTCCGCCTGGCTCTGGAGTGGAAACTCCATGAATTTGCTTTGAATGTGGGGAATTCACAATCGCTGCTTGAAAACAGTTTTGTTTCACAAACAGTCCTCCTGAGCTGGCCCACCCTGCTTCTCTCTTGTTAAAATGCCACTTATTTGGCTTTTCAGCCCTATATAGGTTTTATATGATCTATTATGCGATGCTTTAATTACTGTTGTTTATTGATTATGATTGTATTTGAATTTCCATAGATTGCCAAGAGTGACTTGCCAAAGGGCACACAAAGACAATATTATAATATTATTATCAGGGAAGCAGCAGGCCTGGGTTACAAAGTGAAAAGCTAAGTAACAACTGAAGGGAAGGGAAGGAAAGATCCTCCTGACTGGTGCTGCTGGCGTGTAATTGCGAGTCTGCAGTGGGTTGCTCATCAGGCCTTTGTTTGGAATAAACGCGCCTAGAAGGAAGCAGCTGAGAATCTTCCCCAGTGTTGTATAGCACTTGGTAGGACTTCAGTGAAATGTGCTGTACTTCTCGTCCAAAAATAACAGCAGCTCGCTCTCAGTGTGCTTGCCAGCAAAAACTCTGGCTGTGCTGGGATCCAGCTCTATATACCTTCACACCAGATCCCCATCACGATCAGGGCCACAGATCCAGTGAAAGAAATGTCCCATGTGCGTGCCATGGCTTTCCATGGGTCAGCCTCATATTATAAGTGGTCACCAGCATGCAGAGCTCATTTGCACTAAACTCAATGCTCTGTGAAAGGGCTTTCCTAGAAGCCAGATGTGAGGAGCCATCGCAGCTCATGTACTGGTCATTGATTTACTAAAATTTTTATAAATGCCCAGCCTGTGCTAGGTACTCCTCTCTCCCAGCCCCCAACCTTAGTAATTAGGGATGAGGAATAGATGGTCATAGCTACAAAGGATTTAAAGATCTAGCTCCTATCTTCATGGAGCTCAGTATCTGGTGGGGGTAGACAGAAACCCAAAACAATAATAATATCACCCGATAGGGGTTCAGGGTTCGACTTTACCACCCTCTACACTCTGATAACACCAGGTCATTATCAAGTGGTCTGCACTCATGTTCTGAGCTGAAGAACCAAAATGTCAATGCATTCCCTGCCCCCAGAATTACGTATTTATTCTCAGAAAAGATGAGCTAAAAATCAGCTCTTTGCAGAAGGAGCCACTTCGCTTGCTCAGTTTCAGTGGTTGCTAGTCTCTGTGTTCAGTCAAAGAAGGCATCCTGGTTCTTCCTTCAGGACCTTGGGCTTTTTGGCAGAAAAGATACTGGAGGAAAAATTATAGATCTGCCAGAATTGAATAAAAACATCTTCAGAGAGGACAGATAAAAGGGAAGAGAGCAGCGGGTCCTAAATGGGCAGATAGGCAGTCCCACAAGAAGAGAGCCACCTTCAAGGGAGAAGATTGAGGACTGAGCATGGATCTGGAGTGGTGGGCATGGGGGGAGAGCAGGGCAAAGCCTCACCCACAGAGAAATGGAGGAAGCCAGCCGTATGTGTGCAGAGTGGCTCGGTGCCAGGCGGGCACGGGGAATCTTCAAGGGGATAAATACTCAGAGATTTCCAACCCTTTTGGGATGAGTGCCAGGGAAAGAGGCCAAGATTCCAGGGAACACAGCCAGGACAGGGTTATTATAATCCCTGGGAGGATTCATTTGCCAGCTACTGAAGCAAAAGCAAGCAGCACCCTGAAATGGAGACTAGCTATTTCAGAGCAATTAGCCATTGGTGCCTGCTGCTGTCTTTGGAAAAGCTCCAGAAGCCAGTGAGGTAGAAAGGAGGGCAGGGAGCCCTGGTCTGCTGCAGGAGAGATGACTCCATCTTGATATCTCCCCACCTGACAGCTCCCTGCAAACCCAACACCAGACCTGAGATCCGAGGGGCTTCTGCTCCTACTGGGTTCATGCCCTGCCCTCAGGACAGCACTGACTGAGGCATCACAGGCAACACATGTACAGAACAATCCCTGGCTGCCCAGGAGCATAAAGTGCACAATATTAGAGCAGACCAAATTCTCTTCTCACATCAGGGTTTTGAGCCTGGCGCCCATTAACACTTCAGAGATTTTGTTTTTGGGGAACAGTGAATCACCCAAAATTAGTTATAAAATTGTTCTATGTATATGCATTTTTCTGGTAAGAAGATCCAAATATTTATTAGAATTTCAAAGGGTCTATAATTTGTTCATACTACTTTTTTCATTCTTAGTCAAACAGAGAAAGGCTAAAGAGGTCTTACCCCACCCATATACTCATTATTGTTGTCAATTGTCACTCATCAACATGGCCTCTTTAAAAGGAGTCCAACAAGACCCGGGCATATTTGGGGTGAAGGCAGGATGGGAGATAATTGCACTTAAAAGGATTAAGCCACTGCTCCATGAAGGATTCACCAATGCCTTTTTAATCTCCACACTGCCTTTTCTGAAAACTTTCCAGGCTCTGGTTTACTGACTTCTATGCCTTGGGAATGCTTTCTGGACATCCTGGTGACAGCTTTCACTCATTTGCTTTGGTCTGGGATCCTGAGAAGTCCTGATGCATAGATTACGTCCACTGCCCTGTGTGTCTCTCCTGCTTTCCAATGGGCTTGGCCACTCCTGGAAAATGCCCACTGGAGAAGAAAGAGATTAAGTGCTATTGTAGTTGAACGAAACAACAACAGACTTCCAACTTTATGGAGCTAGAGAGGCAGGTATGTCTACTGTTTTATTTCACAGCATGGGATATAGGAAGAACAGATTAGGTGGATGCTGCCCCACCTGTCTGGATAGATGAGACCAGAGGGGAGCCAGACAATGCATAGTTGTGGAGATGCTATCCTATAGGTAATAATGTTTAAAGCATTTATGTCGATATAAAGGAGTCCCAGCAACTCCTAAAGGAAGGATCTCTTTTATGCATTGCTAAGTAATTCTCCAAGTTTTTGCTGTGTGAAGACACTGTTCTCCATCCTGGTCTTTTTCCCACAGCTCTCCACTTCCAACCACCTCCCCCAAGCAGAGCTGTTGCTCAGGTGCTGCCCATAGCCAGGGCTGGGATAGGATGCCTTCGCTCAGAGCTAAGACAAGATACATTTTACTTTGTTCTTTTCCAGATACCTTGTGATGGGGCCATTGGAGGGGATTAGCACTTTGTAGACTGAAGCTGAACTTGAATAGGCTTTTGAGAAATCACATCTCCATGGACCTATGCTTGTACTGCTACAGTGGAGAGAAGAGCACGACCCCAGCAATATTCTGCAGGAAGCAGCTCCAGCAAGCTCTGTGCTGGATGGT